AAAAACCCCCCCCCCCCCCCCCAAATAATAAAGATAGCAATAAAGAAAGTATCCTAAGGGAGTAACATAGAAGTGTCAAAAGCCTCACTCAGCATTTAAACTCCCTGGGACAGAGACCTAAATGCCTACCACAACATTTATTTGAGGTAGAAAAATAAAAGAGCAGTAACAGTGCAAGAACAGTACTTCCACAAGACAAAAGCATGTGATGCAATTGATATTTACCAGAATTGATTAAATAAGTAGATTGGACAGCAGAAATATTCTTGGTTGAGTTTACGCTTGAACTCCAAAAGTCCACATCCATTGTCCACTTCTTTTCTATCTCAATATTTATTGGACAGTAAAAAAGAATATGGTCAGCTTGTTGTTGTTGTACAAGCAAAACAAGGAAAGAACAATTTGGTTTATATAGAATCTTCAGATGGTACCTAAAACCCAACAAACAAAATCTTGAGAAAGAGGTTTTAAGATTTAAGAAAAGGAAGAAAGTAGTGAGTGGTTGCTGATGATGTTCCTAGCTTCTACTAACAACAATAACTTTTAAGTTGATGGGATGTTGTGTTGTACTGATTTGTAATTTAGTGCTGGAAAGTTAACATAGGAAGGACAGTGGGAAACTTTTCTGACACTCAAAAGCTGGATAATAGAGCTATTGACATGTGACCCTATAGCTATAGTAAAATAAAGTTCTTTCTTTTCACTGAAAAATTCCCTGGAAATGGCAGTTTCCTCTCTGGTTAAGTATTCTGCTCCGTTTGTTTGACTTGATACATTAAAATTGATTAGTTTTTGAATTTAGATAAAGTATTTGTTTGAATTGATTAAAATTTAAGAAAAAAAATTTTAAAAAAATATGTGAAGCTTAAGAGACAAAAGTTTTGTGGCACCGTAATATTTTGTGATTATAAAAACTTCTCATTAAGAGTAAAGTCGATACAATAAAAAGTTTAAAGTTAAATATTTCTAAATATATAAATATGTCATTCTTTTTCGAACACATTAATAAGGAAAGTGTGTCATAAAATAGAGCGAGTATAAAAAGTTGTTAGTATTTGTTTTCAGTTGATTATACAATAGTACTTACCACTTATTTGGATTGTTGTTACATGTCGTTTCATAATGTATCGTATTGTATTGTATTATTTGATGAATATAATGTTTGGATATATTGTATCATTTGTCGGTTTCATGATGTCATGCACCAACAATATGAAGAACAAACTTGCAACATTACAAAGAAAAAAAATAGGATACAGAGTAGAATTATTATATAAAAAGTAGGATAAATGATAAAATATGATTATTTAATAATAAGGAAGGGCAAGATGAAAGGAAAAAGTAAGGAAATGATGCTATCACATCAAATCCGGCGTTCCATAAGTGGCACCTTTTGTCGTTACGTAACGATTGATTTAACGATTCGATACAATAAAATTTAAGCAACAATCAAAACAAACATTATATTTAAAGTAACAATACGATACAATACAATAGGTAACAATCATCCAAACAAGTCCTTATGTAGTATCCTATAAAATGGAATAAAGGGAGTAATTGTTTTGTTTATAAAAAAGGCACTCAAGTTGTAGTTGTATTGGAAAATAGTGTAGTTTTTTTTTTTTTAAATTAATGTATATATATTAAGATATAATTTTGCCACTAGTCGTTTTTTAATTTATTTCTTTTTAAAAAAACTTATTACTAAAATCTTAAAGAATCTTTAAAGGTTTTCACCTGAGTAAAAACTAATCAATTTAAATTCGAATGGACACCTTTATTTGTTAAAATGCTTTAAAAGAATTTTGTTTAGAGCAAACAAAATCTATAAAATTTTGTTGAAGGGAGAAGAGGAGGGACTATCACTATCACCGAACAGTCGGTCGCCCAACATTGTTTTTTGTAAGTAGTTTTATGGGTTCTCTTTCTAGAGCAACTTAATGTACCAAATAATTGTTTTCGGGAAAATATTACTAGTAGTTCTTTTGCAATTCAAATTACTCAATAGAGAATTTCAAGTTCCGAACATCTTTCGAAAATAGAATTGGTGTTTTGGGTAAAAAGGAGATATACTAGTAAAGTAAGCATGAATACTGATGGAAATGACAAAATGCTTCTGATTTTGGCGATATCGTCGCTTTGTAGGTGACGTTATTTCATGTGTTTGTGGGGCGTCTCATTAAATTATCAACTTAAGAGACTTCTATTCAATTCGGAGCGTGGTAAAAAAAAATGATCTTATAATAACTCTTGTAAAAAGGATCAACTAAAATAATATTTATAATAAACTACAAAATCAAATTTTCCGTTGGCAAACCGATAATCGAAAAATATGCAAAAAGAATTCGTACAGTGCACCATCACTTCGGACTTCGGCAATAAAAAGAAGGCAAATGTGTTACTACTAATAAAGGCATGAGTCTGATATAAAACGTCGGAGAAATATTACTTTATAGCCTAGGACGGTGCAAAGGCACATAACACCCAAGCAGGGTGACAAAAGTAGCTCACTTTTCAAGTAACCGTCCACTCAGCTCAAGTTTGAACGAGTTGGTATATACATTTTATTTGTTGATTTGATCTAACAATTGAATTTAAAATGATCCATCAAATTAGTTGTAACTCGAAGATCACAATACAACACACATCCAATTATACACGTCAATAATGTTTCAACCCGCGTTAAATGTTCATTAATTAGATCTGTTTTAATCCGTTCAAATTTCATTCAACCTGTTTATTTACCAGCTCTGTATCATAGGGAGTTCGTCGGTCGGTACGATACGATATATAAACATTTCAGTTTGGTATTTCGGTATTCGATTTTTTAAAATGCAATATCAATACCGTACCTAATTAAATTCGGTATGGTTATATTTTTCTCCTTTCAATTTCGGTTTATTCGGTTTGAATACTAACTAGTGCATATAATCATCAATTTCGGTTTATTCGGTTTGAATACTAACTAGTGCATATAATCATAGACTGTAATATTCAAAATTAAAGTACTCAAAAGTACAAAACTAGAAATATTTGTTGACAAAAATTTTGTCCAAAACTAACAAATATCAACCTAGAAAGAGAAAATTGTACATAAAAGAATAATTTTGATCATTAGAAATGTCATGTTACTTGCTTAGAGTTAATTGATGAACTTAGAGAATAAAGAAAAGTAAAATTTTAGATTTTTATATTTATGTTATAATTAATAATATGTGTATTGTGCAATATAATATATATTTCGGTACGGTATCGGTATTTCATTTTAAAATATCAAATACCATACCTAATACCAATATTTTTTAAAACTTAAACCAAATACCATATCGAATACCAAAATATCGAATACCAAATACCAAATTTTTTGATTTCAGTACGATAATTCGGTATTTATCTAATTATGCACGACCCTACTGCATCCTCATAGCCAGACACACCACTCATTTTCTTACTTTTTGTGCCCTGAAGGTTGGGGAAGGAGTGGGGATCCTGTAATTTGTTGTATTGTGGCCAATCATGATGAAATCACATACGTTCTCGTTCTCGTTCCAAAAATAGAGAGGTTGAAATATCATGTGCCTGTGTACAATTTTGTACTATTTGTATCCTCTTATCTTAGTCTAAAGATGAGAAGATAATTGCTATCCTCTTACTCTAAAAGGGTCAGGTCCCTGTGGACAATTTTGTACTGTATATATATTGAAAATTGACATAACGTAATGGAAAACACCAACTAGAAGGACCAGAAATGAGGCGTATGCACATTGTATCTCTAAGTTTTACACTTGAGCTCAAGCTTTACCTTTCTAGTTCTCTCATTAGAAGATAAAACTAAATTGGTTTCAAAGGGTTTTTTTCTCTACATCTAGCTTTACTTGGTATAAGAATTTCCAACAACTTGAAAAAACTATCCTTTATCGGATTTGGTCTTCACGAACTCAAGCCAAATGCCTAAGATCCTCAACGTGATTTTTAATAAAAGCATGGCCCATACAATACTGACTTAAGACGGACAATGAAGCAAAAGCAGGAAATTCAAGAGGAACAAGACCTTGAAATCCTCAAGGCTGTGGCACAAGCATGGCATGGTCACTCTAGCAGCCTTAGGACCGCCGTCGAATTCGACCCTCACTGCCATAATTTCAAGAGCAAGCCATCAAGATTCAAGCTTGAAGCTATGAGCAAAGTGTCTACCAGGAAAATTTATGGTGCAGGTAGCTGGGATTTTAAGCAATCCCTTTGGGATTCTTATGAGCTTGTAAATGTATCCAAAAAGTTAGAGATGGAGCTAATGCTAGACCATCCACTTTCTGCATTGGATGAGCTAAACTGGAATATTGGTAAGAAGCACGAGGGTGAAAAAAGCTTAAGAGACTTGTTCAACATGTCATCGAGGAGATTTAATGAAGCTGAACTACCAAAAGATGAGGGTCTTTTTTTTTTTTAAAACACGTTCTCATGACTGTAGCTTTCCTAATAATATGTAGATTCACTTCTGTAACTAGACATGACATCTGTCTTTCACCACCTCTGGTTTTCACGTCTCAGAAATTTAATTTTTGGTTGCAAATCCCATGTACAACAATGTTTTAAAGATAATGGAAGGAAGAGAAATAGTGGTCATAGGGATTCACTATATCAAGGCATCCATTTCTCCACAAATAAATAGTCAAGCTACTAACAATGATCGTACTACTACTCAAGAGAAGCAGTCCTACTAAAGAGATTAGTAAGCTATTATTTGTTTGGATGTTTTTTAAGTGAAGAGGTAATAGAGGAAGTTGCAAGATAGAAATGAGAAATATAGCTTCATGATTCAGGACTAACAGTCCGGTTGATAGAATATAACCTCAAAGAGTAATACCGAAGTTACGGGACTGCACAAATCGAAACCTAAAAGTGAGAATCAAATGTATTGGTATAACATTTTTAAAACTGAAAATCGAAAATACCAAACCAAAATCTTTCAAAGTTGTACCAAACCGACTGATGAACACCCCACTTCCAATTTATTTATAGAAGTCCATTGTAAGCATCACATATTGAACATGTAGTACCGACTTGCTCCTAATTTTCTCCAGCAATAAGATCCATCACAACACGCTTGATGCTTCCATTATTCTTCTTAAGTAGCTTCCTGTTCATCTCTTTGTTGTGGAAACCCTGCATTCACAAAATACATAGCCAGAAGTTGGTCCATGCTTTTAAGCAGGATATGTGGAAAAGGAATGTACAGATTTCAATGTCAACTGCATTTTCAATGACCTCTACATTAACCTACCATCTCCTCCAGCTCGTCAAGGATAGGATCCCAGTCGGCAACACCGCAAAGATCATCAACTGCATGTTCCAAGTCATACTCGTTCATCCTCAAGATTTCTTTGTTTAAGTCTACCTGTTTGAAACCCATCTCCTCCAGTTCCTTGAGGAGGGTCGCCTCAACGTCACTGTTTCCTCTAACATCCTGTGAAGATGCCTGCATCTCAGTAACAGAGGGTGGTGTAGCAGAAGTAACAGCTGGTGCTGCCTCAGATAAATCAATGGGATATGAAATTGATGAACCAGGTGCTGAAGGAGAGACGCTCGACTTGTCACCAACAACAGTTAACAAGCTATCATTAATGCTTGGCTTGGATTCCTCCTGCTCCTTATTTGGGTTTCCAGCAACCACTGGCTCAACCAACTCCATGGTTGGGTTTGAGAGTTCAGGTCCATCTACGCCACTGCTGGCTGGAGGGAAATTCAAGTTCAAGTACTGAGAGGATTCATCAAACTCCTTTTTTCGAAGGTTCACTGAGGGATCAACCTGCATGAGTGAATTATAACCATTCAAATCAGCATAGAAGCTAACTCTTATCATCAAGGAATAGTGTTGCAAGCAAACAATTCTCACCTGGATAAGCACCCATACACGCTGACCAAAGAATTGCCCTGAAGGTGAGGCCATCCTCCAGTAGGAGATGTACTTACCAGGAAGCTCAGAAGCAGTAAAAACAACTGCCACATCGAGCTCCTGGTTAACCGCCAAGCCATCCGAAGTAATCTGCAGTTCAAGGGACACAGTATCCTCACATCTTTCCAGATATATAAATTAATAAACTGTTAACAGGACCAGAATGTGGATGGTCAACAATGGGGAATCACAAAAAGCAAATACTTGCGTGTAAATTCTTACCTGTAACTCAACAGAGCATGCATCACATAATCTATCTCCCCCAATCCAAACAAGTTTTGTTCCTTTTGGCCAGACAATATTACCATTGTTCCTCATTCTCCAGATCTTGATAAATGGAGCCGAAGGAGCCATGATACTGCCATCAAGTACACTGACATCCTCTATGAAGCAGCTGTCCAGCTTAGGTCGACCTGATTTCAACCCACAGCCTTGAGATACTTGTGGAACGGTAGGGGAGCGCATCCACCCATTCTACAGACAGAAAAAGAGTTGACAGAGTTAATAAAACAGAGAGAGAGAATACACATAGAAAATTGAAAGAAAGAAAAAAATGATGAACTCCTTATACAGGATCATATAAACCCTTGAAAGCTAAGGGATGCTGGTAAGTAACAGGATGATCCATTCTGATGTAATCAGCATCATTTCCCATTTGTGCAAAGCATATGCTGCAGAGATCATAGTCCTCCTTTCTGCATGAACACGGAAGATTTAATGAGTCATTTAATGTCGACAAGTCAAATACTACAAATACAAAAGCTAAACATCTTACACTTTAGATTTGAACCTAGGGCCAGTTATAGGATGAACCCCACAACCATCACAACGAACACCTCTATGAAAAATTGTTGCTGCCCCATCACTGTGATTATGGCTCTTTTTAAATGGTATCTCAAAAGGAGAGTATTGAGGCAGCACAGTGTCTTTTGCCACAGGCACCCCAGTCATGAGATATGAACTTGGAGATCTAAAACCATTAGAAAGAATCTCGGATGAACTACCATTGCAACCCAAACTACAAGAGTCCCAGAGTATTTTTGCAAAATTGGAACTTGCAGAGCCACCTGGCTGTTTATCAGCTGCCTTTTCTAGGCTTGTGGGTGAGGAACTAGAATACGAACTACCAAGGGCCTTTCCGACAAGATGGGAATCACCAAATTTCTTACTTTGTTCCTTCTTACCATCAACCAGACATGTGTTAGGCTTAGGATTTTTGGATAACGATTCACATTGAGTTTCACTCCGATATGGTTGGGAAGATCTCAGTTTTGAGGCATCTGTAGATTCAGTATGATTTTTGGGTTGGCTTGCAAATTTAAAGATTGCCTCCTCAGCATTCTCTGCAGGGGATGGCTCTTCCTTTTTGAGGGACGGCTCTCCACTTTTAACACTAGTAAATGCTTGTGAGGTTGTTTCATCTACAACACAGCCAATTAAGTCTTTTGTCACTGTCACACCCGTATTGATTCCAGATGCTGGACCCTGTGAGCCAGTTTCTGAGGCAGGCTGAGATCCCGAAGCCTGCTTTAGGTAGGATAAGCCGATCGCCGAGAGAGATTTGGAAAGCTCAGCAATTTCTCGGGCAGCTGATGAAGCTTTAGTCGCCATGTCTGCAGAGTGCTTTAAGATTTTTCCGCTTTTTGATTCTGGCAAAGATTTGAGAAGATCAGAAACACTTGAATTTATGTTCGGAAATGTAGGCTGGACCACTGGGGATCTCAGGGTGGTAGAATTTCCACTAGATGCATCTGAAGATCTGATAATCTTTTTAGTGTTCAATCTCACACATATTCGCAGGGGATTCAGGTTCTGCCTCGTGATATCCTGCAGATCTTCATCATCAACGAGCGTTACAACATCACCGTCCTCATCAATGTATGTCAGTGTGAGTTTAGTATTTGGAGCAAAGTTGAAAAGTTGAAAGATCTTGTCTCTCAATCCATCCATATTAAGGCCATGTTTATCATCAGCAACACAGGCATTGAATCGTCTAAGTGTCTTTCCATAATTCACCTATAAAGTATCCAGAGCCAGCAGAAACCCATTAGTACCGACCAAAAATCATCCATAGGAGGCTACACTAAATGAGTCGAAACATAATCAATGGAACATAAGAAAATTAACCAAAAAAGCACAAACAGAACCTCTGCTAGCTCTCCTCCTCAACAGACATTTGTTTCAAGAGTTAAACCAATGTCAAGGAGTCTAATGTTATCATGAAAACAGAAACCGACATATATTCATACAAGTGTTTATACATAGACAAGATTGCATAGCATGCGGAACGCCCTGAAGGTCACAAGGATCATAGGAAAAGCTAGAGTATAACAACAACTACGCCTCAGTCCGAAACAAGTTGGGTCAGCTATATGAATCTTCACAGACCATGTTCACTCAAGCCAACATTTTACAAAATAAAAATAAAAATGAAATCTATATTTTCTACTGGCATAAGAATCTCTATAGGGCTAAAAGATCCTAGAAGGCATATAAGAGCATATCCGGCTAGATACAATAAGAACATATAAGAGTCTCTAATAGGAAAAGCTAGAATATCCGGCAAAAAAACATATGAGAGCAATTTTTAACAATAAATTAATCGACTACTTCGCAATTCAAAACTAGTTGGAGCAGCTCACGAATCTCGAACTCCTAATCCGTAAAGTGAAACATAACCTAATAATTAGTGCTTAAATCATATATGAATATCAAATCGTCAACGAGAAGGAAAAAAAAAAAGAAAAATCCACAAACCAGAACACTCTAAAGCATTTATTTACAGTTTAACGATCACCGCATTGAAACCTCTAATATTCTCTACATCATGCAGTAAAAGAAATATCTTTACACTGCAAAACAATTGCTTGATTTTGGTATTACCACATATCAACGTAACAAAAACAAACTGAACAAATACGAATTATACATGCAGGAATAGAAAAGGTCCAATAAACCAAAACAAATGAATAGACAAAAAGATCAAACCTTGATCACGATAGAAGACTCCATTGGGGTAGAGCTAGCGTTCGGGGTAAGCCGCACAAACGTTTATACACAAAACCAGTATATATCTATAGGATTACGATAAGAATTAAAAACCCTAACCCTAGAGTTAAAATTCAACAAAATGGAGCGATATAATCGGTGAAATAGAAGCAGAGGAAGAGACTCCCTAAACCCAAGGGTGTCAATCTTTTGTCATGTCATGTATATCGCATTTATTTATAGTGTTTTTTTAGCGCATTTATAGTTTGGGCTCTGTTTTATGTTTTTTCTTTTGTTTTGTTTAAATTTCATTGCTTGGTTCCAAAGAATAGGGGACTACTGATTGATTAATTAGAGATCATAATTTAAATTCAAATTATTTTTAAAATTCAAAGAGTCATTGAGAATTTGAGATACAAGATTATCGAGTTCTTCAGTCGAAAATTATAACTTGAACTTTTAATAATTGTCTCTTCGGGGACATCCGATAAAAAAAATCTTTTAATAATTATATTCGGGAAATTTTTACTCATAATTATGTGGTCAGTTTAATCTAATTCAAGGACATGCTTAGTATGACAGATTATTTTCTCTAATAATAATAATTTTTTACCAAGAAGGAAAACATGAATTTTCGTTCTCACTTTTAATTCATATTCCATATCAGTTGCTTTAATCTGCGTTAAATATATATCACATATTTTTATACTTAATCGAACACGGAACAAATGATCCATCTTCTCAAGTAAAACAAATCGTTGTTTTCTTAAAAAAAAATATTTCCTTCCATAATAAAAGCGCTATAAGTTTTCTCTCTTTCCCTTATATTTAACTTTTGCTAAGATCAAGTTAAATAATGTGTTTTACCAGTTTAATATCTTACTAGTTTCAGGATACGCACGTCATGCATGTATTCAAATTAGTATGTATTTAATTTTAAAAATTAGCACAAATGTTATATTAATCATTGTGTGTACATTGTAAAATAAAATTTTAAAAAGACAGAAGTTCATGAAAATGCTAAGCGTTGATCAACAACAATAACTCAGTGGATTTCCATAAGTGGATTTAAGGATTGTAGGATGTACCTAGTCTTACCCCTACCGTTAGAGGACAGAAAGATCGTATCTGATAGATCCTCAGCTAAAGAAAAAATAAAGAAGCATTCCCAGCAAGTAGTAAAAATATTATGTGGTTTAAGTCAATAAAAAAAAGGAACCTTGTGTGGTTTAAGTCTTTGAATCATTATTATAATTTTGATATATGAGTTTTAATTTGCTTTAGAAGTCCCGACAAAGTTGTATTCACATTACTCGCAATAGTATTTCAGTCCTTGTATGACCTAAATATATTTTTTAGGAACCAACTTGGAAAGGTTAGAACATATTGAAGCAGTGATAACATTATTTGATTGGTTAGAACATGTCATTTGTATATGTTGCGCAATTTTTTATTTATTTGACATGACATGCCTTGTCATTTTGACAATGATCTTATTGGCTCTTCCATTTGACTTGGCGTGCCATGTCATTTGACACGTATCATCAAACTAGGCCTCTAAAAAGATAACATTTTGGGCTTAACAAAGTGGGCTCATCATTTGTAGCTTAATTAAATGGACTAGCCTAATGTATTTAGACTTATTTATTTAATCCATATGTATTGGACTTATTAATCCAATTATATTAGCTCATAATATTTATTTGAACTAACATACTTAAATTTAAAATATAGTTCATATAAATTTTATGAATTTAAATCCAATAAAATTTTGCCGTCTATAAATGCTCATATTTCAAGACTAGCGGAAGTGTCTAAACTTTTTAGGACCGCTTGAAGTATTGTCTTGATGCTCGTTAAGATTAGTAATGATCGGCGCAATGTAATTCTTGTATGTCAAAAGTTGATAATGACTAAATGCTTTAGGCCTCGTCAAATAAGAATGTTTAGGACTTGAATTAAACGTCCAATGATATCTTTAGTGGTTAGGGGAGTTGACTTTCCCTTGTATGTTAATACATTCCTTTGCATAAAGAATGTGATCGTAGGATGCAAGGGATAACAACTCATTTTCGCCGTAAAATTGGTCAAATAATCTTAGGGTGCAAAGGGATGACAACTTATCCTCACCCTAAAATCACTAGAATAATCTTAGGGCACAAAGGGATGGCAACTCATTCTTGCCTAAAACATAGGTGGAATAATTTTAGGCGCAAAGGGATTGCAACTCATCCTCGCCTTAAGAATGGTAACAAGCTTATCCGTTAAAATCTCCGTAATCATTCCTACGTTCTTGATTTGGACACTATGACTTCTTTTATCCTTTGCAGCTTGAAGAGATGGTAAATTTCAAATACTACACCTCCTCTTCCTCCAAACCTAGATACCTCATAGTTGAGACTAAAGATAGCATAAAACAAACCAAGCTTTTGATTCATACTTCACAAGCCGGACAATATGTGAGCTCGTGGCCTTTCTTGAGGAATATGCTTCACGTAGAAAATTGGACTTTGGAGCACAAATCAAGTTCCAGTCGATCATCTAAGACATGGTCCCTCCAAGCGCTAGTCCATCATGTAAACATTACTAGCACCTTTTCAGGCTTAGGGCATCGCATAATTCAAGGAGAAATACGTTGAAAAATTATTGTAACAATCGAGGGCGAGTATCATTATATTTCAGGGTACTGAGAATGGACTGAAGACATACTTGATAAAAGCCAATAAGCCTTGAGTAAAACAATAATTTATGATGTCATTTATGCCTCACTTTTCACTTACGATCGAAATTCAAATATTTTGCAAGCATTTTGCGAAGCTTGGTGCCCCAAGACGAAGACACTAAAGACGAAAGAAACTGATATTCATTTCTCGGTCTTGCGAATACTTCTTTGCCACATTTCACCGTCTTAAGGAAATTACATGTGTTAAGTGTTAACCAAAAGGTTTTCTTGAGAAAGTGGGTAAAATTTTGGTGCAAAAATTCTTTAAGATGTGGACATGACTCACAAAGGAAGGAAAAAAAATTGCACAGTTAAAATCGACACATAATCTCAATAAAGCTATACTCAAGATAACTAGATAGTCCAGTGATGAAGAAACGATGTTTTTCAAGTTGGGGGTAAGGTATGAAAAGAAAAATGACATATATCTCACAACTTTCTTATCATGTTGGATGTGCAGTTTCGTATTTTCCCATAAGGCAGAAAGCTTCACTTGTCCAAATATTTTTAAAATGGCAAGCATGATGGCAATTAGACGGAAATTTAATCTTGCAGTTCCTGTTTTGGCAAGCATTTACAATGGTTTGATAATATTTCATGTTCTTCACATCTTGATCAAATCAAATTTTATTTTCCTATCCATTACGTTTACAGTTGGCTTGTCTATTACTTCAAAAGCCACTACGCACTTCCCAAAGGTCCATCTATTCTGTTGATAGTGGTGTACTCAAGAGAGGGCGCGGCGAGGTATTTTGACAAGATTGATGCAAAAAAATATTATTATATGGACCCCAATCATGTTGATTGAGCCGCATCTTTATTTTTATATGGACAACAAGATCGCGTTGGAGTTGGAGTCAAACTGCTTCATGAGCTTGGTTTTAACTACCTCTCTTTCAGGTATGATAACTCCTTCATTATCGAGCTATAAAGTTCGTATTAGTTTGGCCGTCAGTTTGGATTTTATCAAAACATCCTTGGTTATTTGGAGATTAAGATCTGCAGTGCCTCTTTGGATGAATGACTCAGATTTTGGCGTATTTACACATTGTATCGATCTATATCGAGGGCGACTTTTTCCCAATAGAAGCTTCTGTAAATAAGCTTTTCTCCACAAGTTATACGTCTTTATGGGAGAAAGCGCATGAAAAGTTTCTTGAGGATAATCTAAAAACTTTAGTAGACAATACTGGGCCAAACTTTATTACCCCGAGGACATAACTCAAGATCACAACAAGGAAAATAAGCACACTACTTTAAAATCTAATGTGGTTGTACTATACAAAGTCAAGGGACCTCCATATAAAGAAGTTCAAAAGGAGAAGATGCTTGCTTAGGATCATCGAGTTAATAAAGGTTCCTTTTCATTAGGTTCCATTGTCCCTACTTCCAACAAACGATTATCCCAAAAGGAGAGTGGTAGCTGTCATGGAGACTAAAACTTCAAGCGGGTGAAGCCATATTCAAACAAACAGGGGGATACTAATTTGGGTGTAGTTAAAATTACTAATAGCATGGGCAGTGGTTCAAGGACTTTAACGGCCATTAAAGAGGTAATTATTAAAAGGTTGTCTTGACCCTCCACAAGAATTTTTATAAATGACCAGCACCAACAATGTCTATCTTTGATAGAAGAAAGGTTGTCTTGACTCTCCGCAAGAATTTGATCTTGGATGCATGGACCAAAATTCATACTAAACTCTCTGGCCTTACTACATACCGTGCTTCTTCTCTTGAATATGTGGTCTGAGTGAATCTCGAAGAGATGGATAAAAAAAGGTATGGATATTTACCCTTTGAAGAACATATTGAAGTCTTTCTTTGAGCTTGTCGCTTTATATGATCAGGCATGATATACTCTTTCGGATAAGGTTGTGGAAGTTGAAAAATCAGAGTCATCCTTAAAATTCAAGAAACATCTTGATCTTTCCTTGACTAAAAAAAATGAATGTCGAAGAACTGTCTGACAACAGTCAATCTCTTAAAGAAGCTAAAAAAATTTAAAGAAGTTAAGAGCTCTTTCAGATGCTACCAAAAACGAAGTTAAAGATATTGAATCCAGAATTTCATCTACTAAAGAGGAGTTCCATAGATGTTCTGATGTTTCCTTGGCAACTGCTGATAACTTGGCTGACGTGGAGAAAACGAAACAACTCTTAGAGACTACCCTTCAAGACTTAGTCAATTACAAATTGTATTTAGATTAACCTATAGAAAGTATTTTATTTGCCTTTTTTTCCTTGAATTTGATTGACTAGCGGATATTCTAGTTAGAGGTGAAAACTCTATATGTTTTGCTTTATATTGCACGTTCTCATTGATGTTTCTTTTTGTTTGGCGGTTCAATACCAACAGTTACTTTCTTATCCTGGTATATTAACGTCTATATAGTAGGCTTTGAAATTATTTTAAATGTCATTGCGGTTCATGTCTCGAAGTTCTCTAGATTTTAATTTATATTTTCCTATTTTCTTCTTTTGAACATAATATTGTTCATTAGCTTTACT